TATAGCCCCTTTGCATTCTAGCTTGTAGACCTTGAGTGTGTGAGTCATAAGCATGCTGTAGTTGGGTTGTTTTAGTGGTTTGGCACCACTTATAATGCTATTTCAGTCCATAACAATGGAAGTGAAAGTGTGCATAGCAATGCTCGTGAGACATGCATAGCAAGGCAAATGCAAGAAATGTACGCTTCATGCAACATTAAGATGCACATTTCATGCCAGGGTGAGAAGTGCACATTCTATGCAAGCAAGGTTAAAACGTGCTCCATGCAATGTACATACTCTATGCAAAAGGATCAACGACGTACATCCAATGTGACATGTATATTCTATGCGACAACAAGAATAAGTATAGTACAAGATGCATTTATGCACTATGTGTGATGATCTACTTGCGAGTAGCAAACCATTTTCAAAACAAACATGAAATGTTTTGTTCCAATTTAGGCGATTTGGTCTATACTTGTTTGCTGCGCGCATAACATAGTAATTCTAGGCTAATAAATGGAATAAGAACACATACAGTTTTCAAAAACGGATATCATGGTTAGTAGAGGCCGGTCTTCGGACCGGGCGAAAGGGGGTGCTCATAGCTGACCTTCCCCGATCGTACCCAAGCTCCCGAGCCGAGACAACTCCGGTGATGATGGACATGTGGCCTTCGGCACCGAGTCAGGGTTTCCTAAATTCTCCCATTTTAAAACATTTAGGTGGCGACTCTGTATCTGGCAAAGCAGTCCATGTTTGGCACTACTTTTTCAAAAATCTTTTTCTCAAAAAACGATTTGCCAGATTTTGACTCTTTGGTTCAGATTAAGAACCGTGACTACAAAATCGAGAGTCCGAACTGTAGTAGCATGAGCCCCCCACGCGGGCGCGTCTACAGACGGCTTCTGTGCCGTAGGCCCTGGCAAAGGGGGTTTCCCTTGTTGATCTTCTCGACGGAGTCCGATATGCCCAGAGTACATTAGGTAACTCGTCTACCCACTTTCCTTTTGCTGCCTGCAGTCTCTTCTTTATCCCATCCAAAATTACTTTGTTGGTTGCTTCTGCTTGCCCATTGCTTTAGGGAAAACTTTATGTTGAAAAGTAATTCTTTATCTTGAATTTCGCACAGAAGTTCTTGATGAGTTTGCTGTCAAACTGCGTTCTGTTGTCGGCAACTATTGCTCTTGGAATGCCAAATCTAGTGATGATGTTTCTCCATATGAAGTTCTTGACGTCCACATCTCGGATTTTGGCAAGAGGTTCTGCTTTCTATCCACTTCATGAAGTAATCTGTTGCTACCAGCAAGTACTTCCTTTGCCCAGTTGCTTGGGGCAACTGCCTAATGAGATCCATGCCCCATTGGGCAAATGGCCATGGACTGGATACAGGGTTCAGGTCAGCGGCTGGCTTCAGCATCTTTTTGCATGTAGGGCCACCAATACCCCTGGGTAATGGCCCTGTGAGCTAGTGATCTGCCCCCAGCGTGGCTTCCACAAATCCCTTCATGAATTTCATATAGAAAATCTTCAACCTGCAAAGGGTTTACGCACCTTAAAAGGGGTCCAGTGAAGGACCTTCTGTAGAGATGTCCGTCCGCTGTCAGATTGAATCTTGTTGACTTCAATCTGACCTTGTGTGCTTCTTTATGGTCTTCTGGGAGCTTTCCCTCTTTTAGGAATGCAACAATTGCATCCATCCAGCTTGGTCCCAAGTCCACACACATTGCTCATTGTTCTGTGATCGGTCGTTCTATGCTCGGGCTTAACAGATAGTTAATCATTATTGTCCTTGTTTTTCCAGTTTGTATTGAACTTGCCAAGTTGGCCAATGCGTCGGCGTGGTTGTTATCATCTCGGCTGACTTGAAGAAGTCGGCAGTTGCAAAACGAGGCAGCCAGTCTGATGGCTTCCTTTGCGTATGCCGAGATCCTCTCGTCTCGGGTTGCGAACTCTCTTGTTGTCTGATTTACTATAAGTTGTGAATCACAAAAAATTATTACCTCATCTGCTTCTGCTGCCACTGCCAGCCTTAGTCCTGCAATCAATGCTTCGTATTCTGCCTCATTGTTCGAGGCCTTGAACCCTAATCGAATAGACTGTTCCAATATTTCCCCATCAGGAGATATTAACACTACTCCTGCTCTCGCTCCTTGCCGGTTTGAGCTCCTATCGACAAACAGGCGAAAGGAGTCGCCGATGTAAATGCTGCAGAGTCTGAGTTTTTCCTTTCCTTGTCTTTTGCCTTTGGCTGGGCTTTTCCTTGTTTGCTTGGACATCGTTCATCTTGGCTCAACGGAGCCCGATGTTCTATGGATTCTGGCGTGAATTCGGCCACGAAGTCGGCCAAAACTTGGCCCTTAATTGCTGTTCTCGGCCTGAACTCCAGGTCGTACTGGCCCAAGGCCACTGCCCATCTTGCTATTCTTCTAGTTAAGTCTCCTTGTTGTAAAAAGGACTTCAATGGGTGCTCTGTTAGCACTATAATCTTGTTCGCTTGAAAGTAATGGTTCAGCTTCTTTGAAGCCATTACTAAAGCCAGCATTAATTTCTCTAGTGGTAGGTACCTTGTTTCTGCCAAGGTTTTGCTTATATAATAAACAGTCTTTTGATCCCCTTTTTCCTCTCGGATTAGCACTACACTTACTACGTGTTCTGAAACTGCTAAATACAAAAACAGTTCTTCCCCAGGTTCAGGTGTTGAGAGGACTGAAGCCGTTGTCAGATATTTCTTTAGGTCGGCCAAAGTGGCCTCACATTCCTCAGTCCATAGGAAGTCCGTGGCCTTCTTCACCAGGTTGAAGAAAAATTTACATTTGTCTGAGCTTTTGCTGATGAATCTGTTTAGGGCTGCGGCCCTTCCAGTTAGCATCTACACCTGTTTTGCCGACGTCGGGCTCTTCAACTCATGGCCTTGATTTGATCTGGGCTGGCCTCAATGCCCTTTCTTGTTACCAGGTATCCCAGAAACTTACCTGATCCAACTCCAAAAGCGTACTTCGATGCATTGAGTCGGAGCCGGTATGTTTTGAGTATATCAAAGACCTCTTTTAGGTCGGCAAGATGACCCTTAGGTTCCTTGGTTTTCACAACCATGTCATCGATGTAAACCTCCACTATTTGGCCAATCAGATGTTTGAACATCTTGGTTACCAACCTTTGGTAAGTTGCTCCTGCGTTTTTCAACCCAAAAAGTATTAAAAAAATCAATTTCCATAGTTACAAAAAGGTTGTTTCAATATATATATATATATATATCATTACAAAAAGTTTTAGGAGACCAATTATTATTCATCTTGATTCGAATTTTTTGAATTAAATTTTTTATTGTTCATATATTTTTTATTTTTAATAAAATTTTTAAATATTTTAAATAAATATTTTACTTTTTAATATAAAAAATAAGGAGGGGCGATCCCAACCCCAGAAAGGAGTTATACACGGGTCACAATATATTAAAAAAATAATAATACGTGTGGGTCAAAATAATATCCCAACTGAAAAAATAAATAAAATTGTAGCCTTAAATGTACACACACCTATATAAATATGATCACAGATTAGAGAGAAAAACTCATGTAGAGATGAACATGACATAAATCTTAAAATGGAGTTCCTTGGTTATCTGCTGTTCTCCCTTTTTTTCTTGGTAGTTATCCACGGCCTTGCATTGTTTCTTAGAAGAGGAACACTCCCACCAGGCCCCATTGGCCTCTCTCTCTTCGGCAACCTCTTCGAGGTCGGTCCAAAGCCCCACGAATCACTCATGTCCATACGTCTCGGCAGTAAAACCAGCGTGGTGGCTTCATCACCAGACGTAGCCAGAGAGATCCTCCAGAAGCATGACGAGGCTTTCTCTGGCAGAACCGTCCCCGATGCTGTCACTGCGCTCGAGAACCACGACATGGCCGTGCTCTGGATCTCCGCGGGCGATCAATGGCGGTTCATACGCCGAGCATTGAACACGTACCTAACTCACCCACAAAAGCTAGACACCTTGCGAGGACTCAGACACAAAGCTGTGGAAGAGATGATTGAACATGTTAGAGAGAGGAGAGATCGAGCGGTGGCGATCGGAGAGTTGGCATTCACTACTGCTCTGAATCAGATGTCGAACACTTGTTTCTCTGTAAATGTGGCTGGGTTCGAGTCTGGTGAGGTACAGGAGTTCCTGAATGCGGTGAAGACACTGATGGTGGTTGATGGGAAGTTTAACATTGCTGATGTGTTTCCATGGTTGAAGCCATTTGATCCTCAGGGATTAAGGCGCAGAGCCAAGGTTGCTTATAACTGGCTTGATGCTATCAGTGATGGGTTCGTTACTCGGCGGCTCAAACATAGAGAATCCAATTTTCCGTGCTATGGGGACTTCTTGTAGGATTCTCTGCTTGATTATAGCCAAGAAAATGAGTCTGAATTCAATTGCAAGCATATCAAAATCTTACTTGTGGTATGCTCTCTCTCTCTCTCTCAAACCATGTTGGTCGTTAGGGGTGTTTGAAGTTTGAACCCAATCTCAACTTCAGTCAACATAAAATCCATTAATTTCATCTGAACAAAATCTAAATTCTACTAATAAAAAAATAAATTTAAGATAAATACTCAACAAATTACACCGAAAGTACTTATATGTTATTCTTTATATCATTTTGTTCCCTACACTTTTAATTAGTTTAATTTTGACTTTTAATTTTAAATTTTATGTCACTTTGATTCAATTGATAATATCGTTAGTGTTTTTAAGAAAAATTATTACTAAATTAGTTGAAATTAACTCACTGAGTTGAGTAAGTTTATATTTTTGCTCTTAAAAATATGACACATGATATTTATGTACATATTTTTCATCAAAAAAAAAATGCTAAGAGTTAAATCAATTGGATCAAATTGAAACAAAATCATGAATTTGTGGTTGAAATGGAGCCAATTAAAATTACAAGAACTAAAATATGTAATTTTTCCTAAAATATTTGTCTATAAAGAAATATTGATTAACTATGGACAAATTATACTAGTAGTCTATATACTTTGGTCATTCTATTATTTTCATTCATATAATTTCAATTGACTCGATTTTAATCTTCAAATTTATAATTTTCTTTCAATTTCGTTCAATTGATTACAATTGTTAGTATTTTTTTTTATAGAAAATTTGCACATAAGCGCATTTATTATGTTTATATAGGAAAAATTGTAAACTTGTTCAACTCAGTGAATTAATATGAACCAACTTAGTGACTATTTCCTTTCAAAAATCCTAATCTGCATTATCAATTGAACTAATTGATACAAAATCTAAATTAAGTGTCAAAATTGAGTTAAATAAAATTATAGAGACAAAAATAATATAAAAGATAAAATGTAGGAACTACCAATATAATTTAAATTACAAATATAGTTGTGGAGAAGTGGTTAGGAAATACTCCTCTGATCCTGGGGGACGCTCGTGATCCGCTGATAGTCAGCTGAAAATGAATAAACACTCCGGTCGGGGGTGCCGGAATTTGCACTCCGTCGGACAAGTCAGTCTCAACGCTCAGGATTACTTATATTCTAAATTAAGCACAACAATTCTCACATACCTTTCTTAGTCTGATGTCACTACAACAAAAAACACTTTTAGAGACCTTTTTTTTAGTCACCAAAAGTGTAATTTTGGTTGTTGAAAGTATCCACGACATGAACAAAATTGGTCGCTGAAGCCCTGTCACTAAATGCTTCGAGCCAAATCAATTTTGATTGCCTTTATAAATAAATTGGCGACCAAATATTTCCGTCGCCAAAAGACTAAAATTTCGTCGCCACAAATTAACATTTAGTCACTAAAAGTAGCCTTTAGCTGATGACATGTTAAGTTTCATCGACATATAAATGCGTCGCTAAATATATCTTTTAGTGACTAAAAGAATTGGTTGTTGAATGTTAAAAATTTTGGCGACCAATCAAGTTTTGGGTCGCTAAAAAAATTATGGACACATACTTTCAGCAACATAAATAAAATGTCACCAAAAGTAAATTTACAACTAAAAAAACATGTCAGCAAAAATTCATTATTTATAAATTTTTTTAACAATTTCCCTGTTCAATACATAATTCATAAACCTATAAACATAAGCAAAATATAATTCAAATTAACACACTTGTACAAAGCATCCAAAATGTAAACTTAATTCAAAAGTAGTACCATATTAAATATAAACAACATATCAAATCCAAAACATCCAATTTAAGTACAAATCTCTTACAATCCCAAACTTCAAACATGTAATGCCCAAAAACCTTCTAAGCTTGCAAATTCATAACAAAAACCTATGACAAAATATATCCAAAAATTCAAAAATGTAATCCTTTGATGTTCCCCGAACTATATTTCATCCATTGTCAATCTGTCAAACATATGAAAAAAACTCAAACATGTAATTCCAAAAAACCTTCCAAGCTTGCAAATTCATAACAAAAACCTATGACAAAATATATCCAAAAATTCAAAATGTAATCCTTTGATGCTCCCCGAACTATATTCCATCCATTGCCAATCTGTCAAACATATGAAAAAAAAAATTATAATGTTAAAATGTTAATAATAAAGGTCTTGGTCTAAAAACATTGGTTTTACATTATAGATGAACAAATTGAGAGCAAATTTTCCTACGGTGAATTACAAAATTTCAATATACTAAAATCAAAAAGTAACACATGATTCACCAGTTAAACTTTGCATATATAAACTAATTACAAGCAATATCTCTATAAATTTGTAAATCAGTCACATATTGTCCAACCAAAACCTAGCTCAAATTATGTCATTATGGAATACTAATGAAATCCAATTTCAAGGTTCCAAAACAAGAGCAAATATCAATTGAGTTGGAGCTATCACTGGAATGAGATGTAATCCAAAGTGTTAACTTTACTTTCATGACTAAATTGAAATCAGAAGGACCTAAATCTTAAACTTGAGGTTGCTTTTACTTACATTAAGGTCAAAAAGTTCCTCAAATAGAAACTAGAATGAATATGAATAGTTTGCTAGCATTGTTCCCACAAATCATACTATACTGCCGATGATATATTGTGATAATTAGTTGTCTGATATTGCAAAAGCAAATTATGAGATGTGTGACATTTCTAGTATAGCATTATAGTGTTCTTAGGAAACATAATAAGAGTTTAACATTGGGATAATGAAATTAAAACACATCTTTGGTCCCTAGATTAAAGCAAAATATAGCAGCAATCTAAAAAACGTAGGGCAGAATCAAGAGATGGAAATGTTCCCTACTACCCCAGCCCATTTTGCTGAAGAACTAATAATGATGAATCCAAAGAATATATTGTTTCAATCAAGTTGTAGAGAGCACCAACAATGTTAAAATGTTAATAATAAAGTTCTTGGTCTGAAAACATTGGTTTCACATTATAGATGAACAAATTAGGAGCAAATTTCCCTACGGTGAATTACAAAATTTCAATATATCAAAATCAAAAAGTAACACGTGATTCACCAGTTAAAACTTGGCATGTATGAAAAGTTAAAAAAATGTTCATGTGCTGAGCCAAAACCTATAATCTATTGTAAATATATTTTGTAGAGACACCAAGAATATGCATCACCGCGATATAAAAGACCAAATACCAAATGAAAAATTAATTACTTTACATCAGATTAGTTAAACTAGTATTTCAAAAGCTAAACAAACCCCGCTGATCAACACAGGAGGTTGTTAAGGTTAGGAATCACTTTCCTGGGCAAGCCAACTACATATGCAACATTATAAAGGATCTATTTCATAATATTCTTTATTGATGGAGGAATCAAAAGAATACACATAAATTTATTCAATTACAACTATTTTTTTATAGGTACTCAGTTAAATTTTTGTGTCACATTTTTGTCTTTTATGTCCATTGATTGACCAATCAACAGCAGTCACCATCTTTTAGAGTCCAAAGTCATATATCAAAACATGAGAGATTTTTTTTTTTAAAAGAAGAAGAAGAAGAAGAAGAAGAAGAAGAGAAAGCTGCAATTTGCATACCTCTTCATAAAATGTCATTGCTGTAAGACGGTATCCTGCTAAAAGCAAATACTCCTTTACAGTACAGTTGAGATCTCGACATTCATTGTCCTTCAAAGGGCCCGAGTCAGAAAAGGAAGTCTCTCTCTTTTCTTGTTGAGAATTTGCCCCATTATTTGTAGAACATTGGCATTTGTCCCTGAAAAATGCAATTAAGATAGATTAAATTCACAAACTGGAGAAAACATTGTGGCCTATTTGATGATAGAATATAAAAACTATAATGAAACCTACAAAGCACCACTGTAAACCAGGAAAAACTAATAAGATCTCATTATTTACTATGCAATTTCAATTTGAACAGAAAAAATCAGAAAGATGTTGAAGAAGGAAACAAGCAAAGGTGTACATATATGAGTTCTTTAATATGTTCGCTTCTAAAAACTCTATTTTACCATGGATGATTAATAGCCAACACAGTTATAGGAGAATATTGCATACGCAGAGCAAAAAAACAAGAGGAGATATGAAGGAACTTAATTTTATCCCAGGTGTTCCTATATATCTACTAAATTTAACATCAAAATAATACTCCCTAATCCATGCTTGCATCAAAGAAATGTCAAGTAATTCCTAATTTCTAACCTATAAGGCAGCATTAAACCATTAAAATGATTGTAATAGACTTGTTCATATACATGTCCACAAATGTGATAAAAACAAGCTTTCCCTCATGAGACTCAAGGTTATGCTAAGAAGGATCCTATGTCAGATTTAAGCATATTCAAAACACAACATTTTGTTGTTCATGTAGGTTTCAATTAATTTAAGGGACCTAAAGATTTCCTGGTCATGAACCAACTCCCAGAACCTGTATATGAACCTATTAAAGATAATATTTCATTACAATCGCACTTTAATATAATCCTTTCCTTTAATTACATATATAAGCACATTTACTAAAGAGAGAGTTATATGAAACTTTTGTATTAAAAAATCTCAAATTTCAATTTTAAGCACTCTGAAATACACAGAAAAAGATCAAAAATTCAATTTATTCAATATTATAAATCAATTCATAGTGCAACAATCAATCACTAACACAAAGGACAAACTCACCATTCAATTAACATATATACATATATATATATGTATGTATTTAAAACTTTAGTATTAGGAAATCTCAAATCCATTGATTTCACAAAGAAAAATAGAAGATCAAAAGCTTGATTATTCAATGAAATCAATTCATAGTGCAACAAAACTAATTGAACAATACCACAAACAGTATCGAGCAAACTCACCATTCAATTAACATATACACATACAATACAGAAATATATGTATGTACACAAAAGAG